CACAAATAGTAAACATGATTAAATATGTCTATTACAAAACAACATGTGTACAAGAAATTCATACATTTGAATACCAACATTTAAAAGAGTCTGAAAATTCAGGATGTTGAATTTAAACAAGATAGTTGTTTTAACCACAGTTACCTACATATAAAAGTTCTTGACATAGAATAACATAAACATAAAAATATTAAAAGACGGTTATTAAAGTAAAATCTATTGCCAGAAGACTAACCCACGGACTTGCACAAATATCCATTACTATGCTGATGAATACCTTCATGATATTACAAGAATATTTTCCATTATGGCTTTTCAAAGATTACAACCATAACCTCTTTGTCACAGGAAAAATAACAAAAAAAGACCCCCTACTTTTTAAAAGAGGCAATAATTGTTAGGCTGGCACTTGAAAAAAATTGTACTTTGTCTATATTTATATAGTTATTTTACAACTATAAAATGCCATGGCAAATATGAAAATCTTAGAATACTTTCTCAAAAGGTTCAACTCAAGTTTTTAAAATATGGAGCTCACAATTTTGTGAAAAATACCACGGGGCATACCATTCTATTAAGGCCCAATTCATGCATCATAAACTGACAAAGTATTTTTTTTTTTATTGAAAAATTTTAAAGTTTTACAATAAAATACTCCGCCTCTCCCACCCCCCCATTACCCTCCCCCCTCCTTCCCAGAGCTGAATACAGGGTTAAAGAAACAAAAAAAACATACAAATTAAATGAACATCAAACAATTATACATACATCCTAAAAAAAATTTTTTTTAAATACTTTAACTCCAATACATAAAAACAAAAATTCTAACCATTACCCTTAAACATAAGTTATTCAAAAGCTAAATAATACTTTCTAATTCCATATTTATTCTGTACAAAATTTACCCATCTTTTCCATACCGAAATGTATCTCTCTTGTGAATGGTCTTTCAGATAATCCGAAATTTTTGCCATTTCTGATAAATAAGAAACTTTAAAAAACCATTCTTCTATAGTAGGCAAAGAATCCTTCTTCCAATATTGCCCAATCAGCAACCTTGCCACTGTGATTAAATTCAACATTAAAATAATCTCTTTGCCATCACAATCAGCAATAATACCTAACAAAAACAATTGTGGTGTAAATTTTATCTACCACAAATTATGCAGTCGAGTTTCCCGCATTTGGGGAAATCGCAGGGGTCAGCACACCCGGAGTGCTGACCCCTGCAGTGGATAAGCCTCACCCTGAGAAAACCTCCTTCGTGATCAAGGTGTCTCCCCTGCCAGGTAAGTATAAACTGACAAAATATTCTTATACTAAAGCTGGTTTCCACAAAATCTATTAAACATGATAATAATAGTTAGTTGGCTATCTAATTCCTAATTGATGTGATATAAATCAAACCTTAAGTGCTTACAATCAAGTAGCAACTTTAAGAAATATGGCAAATATTGGCAAATTATCATGATGTAATAACCTTTTCAGAAACTGAAAATCATAATTCAGCCAGTTTGGTCTACTGGTTAAGGCACCAGGCTAGAAAGCATGAGACCCTGAGTTCAAATCTCACCTTAGCCATGAAAGCCAGCATGAAAGCCAGCTGGGTGACTTTGAGCCAGTCACTCTCTCTCAACTCAATTCACTCATAGAGTAGTTATTGTGAGGTAAATAGGAAGAGGAAGGTGTGTTGGATATCTTCGCTGCCTTGATTTATTTGTAAAAATAATAACGGTGGGATAAAAATAAATAAGTTTGCAGTGTTCTGATAGTCATTCATTTTCAGCAGCTTCCTAGCTAATGTAAAAAATGAAAGAAGACAAGGACTGAAAACATGGCTTCATCAACAGATCTGCGAATCCCAACCTGATTCAGAACCCATCAAGTAGTTTGTCTGAATGTTGTCACCAAGGAGGTAGGAATATAGTGGATTTTGTATTTGGGATCTTACTTTGTAAGTCACTCACCATGAGTGAGATGGACAGCAATATAAATTTCTTAAACAAATAAACAAGTTCTCCGTACTGAAGTCATGCAGAAGTAGTCTTTCTTTTCAAATGAATATGGTAAAATCATTAAAAACTGTTACATCTATATAATGATAATACTATTTCTTCATCGCAGTGACAGAACTAGTATGATGATCAGTCTTTAGAGTATCTGTACTGTAGATCAACATATCCCTAGTATCAGACATGCTATTCAAATCTACTTTGAAAAAGTTAAGTTTAAGTTTACTTACCTAGCAAGGTATGATTTCAATAACCTATATTTTTATTTCTGTATTTGCATTTATCTAATCAAATACAGAAACATATTTTCAATATGACTAAATTAATAATAAATATTGTAGAAACAAATGCCAACTTGGCAAACAGAATTTGTCTTTATACTTTCTGGAGAGACTATCTATATCAGTGGTTCTCAACCTATGGGTCGGGACCCCATTTGGGGTCGAATGACCATTTCACGGGGGTCGCCAAACAAGGCTGTCTGCCATTTTTTTCCCCTTTTCTTTGGCCACACCCCTGGCACCCGGTGATGTATAAGTGGTTGGGGGTCACCACAACATGGGGAACTGTATTATGGGGTCGCGGCATTAGAAAGGTTGAGAACCACTGATCTATATAAACTGGGCAGCTGCTTTCTACTCTACATACTCCTAGCAATAAACTTGGAACTCACAACATGACTTATAATATCTTACAACTTTTCTATTCAGATCATCATATTTAAATATAAGCTGCTTAAATTCAAGCATTCAAAAAGCTGGCATGCAGCAATCTCTGCATGATCCCAAAACTAGGTCAGGGAAAAGAAAAGTTAAGATATTGCGCCCAAAGTCTTATAAAACCCAACTTTATGGTTTGTTGAATAAATGCACTACACATCCTTATTAGACCATAACCAATTTATAGCATGTAAAAAATATTAAGCTTTTAGTTCTCAAGATACCCCATGGTTTTTAGCAAAATAAAAGTAAATAACAAAGAGCAGCGAAATATGAAGAGCACTATACTTATGAGAGTATTAATCAAAATGATTAATTAACACAATTCTTATTAGCTTATGTGCTTGATAGTGTTTATTTCAACATGGATCTAATGATGCTGGAACACACCACGTCCACGGAGTGCTGGAAGACTGCATTATTCTTTTCCAGCTTTTGAGATATTACTAATAAAACACTGGGGTATTTCAAGTTGTTCAAAAATGAGAGCTGAAGTTTTCAAGATGCATTTCGTGTATCCTCTAAAGCAATCTATGCAAATGAAAACAGAAAGTATCTAGAATTTCAGAATTACAACAGTCCCATACTATTCATTATACAGAAGGAAGAATATAAAAGTAAAGGCTTCCTCTGTCTGCCTCTAGGGACGGTGCTCATCTCTGTTTCTTAACCGGCAGAGCCAGCGTTGTCCAAAGATATTTCTGTGGTCATGTGGCCAGTAGGACTATATGCCAAGGCACACAGAAAGTTCTTACCTTTCCACCAGTGGTACCTATTTATCTTGCATGCTTTCGAATGCAAGGTGGGCAGGAGCTGGGGCAAGGAACAGCAGCTCATCCCATCACACGAGGGACCCAGGCTGACAGCTTTCCAGCTGACAAGCTCAGTGTCTTCGTACCCCTGGACAGTATATGAAACTTCTCAATGATTCTTTTTTTAATAAATAAATCACAGCCAATGACAAAGATACCAAATTGTTACTTGTAAGCTACTTAGATATTATAAATTTTGGTAATCTGTTTTCAACATTCAACAAATGTTCATACTGATTCATAATATATGAACACATATAATAAGAAAGAAAGCAGTCAGTAGCTAAAATATGTGACTTAAAATATGTTGAAACATATTTAATGTAACTGTCAATATTAACTTAATGCAAGCAATTTTTTTAGCTACAGCTAGCTGGTTCAAGTCTCTTTATTACAGACAACAAATAATTTGGCAACAACCTCCCCCCCAAAAGCCACTTTCCTTTATTCCTTTATGTTTAATACACAAGGTTGTTTGGTAAATTGTTCTATCTTTCTATAATCTCATCTCTCCTTTACAACCTAATACAAATTTTTAATAGGTTTGTTGTATTCCTTTCTTAGTCCTCAACAGGGCTACGTTTTCTCTGAATCTATTTCTACTAGTTCAAGAATACAATGCTATGGGCATTTATTCTTTCCAATGATTGGTATGTTGTAGTATGCCAAGCCTTGCCTTTATTCTTTACAGAACTGACAACTGCATTTATATAGGAAATTGGGAAGATGTGTCAATTATATCTTGATGACATTTAATTCTACTTATTTTCATTTTTTAGGTAAAATTATGCTTAAAAAGTATTGATGAAGGTTTAACACTATGATTAACACTGGAACATGTGGATGGAATTTATTTGCTATGACTTTCTGAGAATTTTTCAAGCACTTTAGCAAATCACAGCCTTAATCTTAAAATAACTACTTGCGTAAACACCTCCTTATGCTTAATTATCATAGCACTATATTTTTATGGATGTTCATCTCTTTCAATGAATGAATGAATGAATGAATGAATACTAGACAAGCACATAAATTGTATTATATTTACAAGTTGTAAATAAATATTACAGTAATATCTTTATAGTTGCTCAGCTATCTCTTCAGCATAGACATTTGAGAACTAAACATCTACCACAACTCTACGTCCTTCTTCTACATCATAAAATATGTTTTAGCACTATAAACATTAAATGGATAAATAAGTCATGCTAAGCCATGGTTTAATTATAGCATAAATATGGTTTAAGTTATAGCTTGTATTAAAATGTCAAGTTTACATATAACCATCTGTCCTTAGTGGTGTACTGGTGTAATATGTACTCAATCAATACAATATTAGGAAAAAAAATAAAGCAGCAGAAATCCCATGCCTCATAATTGCTCCAAAACAACTGCTGTCTAGTTTTTAATAAATAATGCTTAAGAACATTTCTTAGACAAAGTGCTAGAATTTTTACCTCCCACATTAGCCTGCAGTCTGTGTTTTCATCCAGTTCCTGTGGCATTCGCTTTTCTCCTGCAAATGGTCCAAACTTTTCACCCTAGCAACAGTAACAAAATTGGTATCTTTTGCTCATGAAAAGGTACTGTTAATTGCTGAAATCAAACTATATGTTAAAATTTACAATATAAGCAGAAAGAACAAAAATATTTGTATGTCCATCTTCTGCTGCTCAATTATCAGCTATAAAAGTAAGAGTGAATTCATATAATTCATACAGTCACTTTAATATAATAGTTAAGGTACCAGACTAGAAACCAGAAGATTGGGAGACCTAGTCATACCTTAGATATGAAAGCTGCCTGGGTGACTTTGGGCCAGTCACTCTCTCTCAGCCCAACTCACCTCACAGAGTTGTTGTAGGGGCAAAAATAGAAGGAGGAAGGAGTATTATGTATGTATGCCAGACAAGATAAAAATCCAACAATCCCATGTTCTTGGGAAGGACTTAATAAGTGGTGGAGAGAAATTCTGAATCTAGTCTAAACATCTAGTTAACTGTGCAACAAACCAACATTGCAGAGAAACATTGTACAAACTGACTACAAACAATGTCATAACAAAGTAGCAACAATGGTGCATTGGAAGATCTGCAAAAAATATCATTTGACTGGAAGCAAGGGGTGGGACAATAAAATTGGTGGGACAATAAAATAAGGAAAGCAATGGAAAATGAAGAAGCCAAAGCAGGGGTGTCAAACTGAGAGCCCATGGGCTGGATGCGTCACATGCAGGCCATGCCCACCCTGGTTCCACAAAGGCAAAAATGTCATAATACTTCACAATAAATCACGTGATGCGATCAATTTTGACACCCGTGAGCTAAAGTGCTCCGCAACTTTAAAATTCAAACAAAGCACCTGCCACATAATACTCCAAATGTAAAACTATTGATAAGAAAGATTAAAAAAATCTGGATAGTGGACGTGGCAGGCCTTGGAGGCAGCAGGATAGAAGAGAAAGAACTGAAGAAGGTAACAAAATACAAAGACTTACAAATAGAAACAGAATGACTGTGAAAAAAACAAAGCAAAGGTAGTACCAATAGCAATAGGCACCTTGGATGCAAACAACTGGAGCACCACTTGAACACCATCAGTAATGACAAATTCACTATCAGTCAATTGTAATGAGACCATTGGATCCGCTTTACTTTGAACAGCTTACATCCTGCGACAATATCTGTGACAACATCAAACATCCACATTTGCCTATTCCAGGTCCTTGGATAGGATTTGACAGGCAGACAAAAATGCCATCAATTTAACTGTGCAAATAACCATAATAAGTAATAATATCAGAAACACAATGCAAGGAAAGAGGGGTCTAAAAATCCATAGCAAATGATTTTACTCTCCACAAAACTTCCATTTGAGCTAATATTAAGAGATATGTTGCAAAGTATCTGATGCTGTGTTTCAGGTTTGGTGAATTTGTTACATTTTTGTTCTCCCAATCAGGCTTAAATAGCACATCTGGGATGTAGCAGAAGTCTAGAGAAGCAGAAATACTAAGGCCTCTCTGTCAATATTGTACATCTCAATTGGCAAGGACTTTTTAACAATTACTGCATGACTTTAATGATAAAGTGAATAGCCCAGGCTCATATTGGATCATGATTGATTGCCCCCAGCTGACTCTGGTCTTGGCATATGACAATATTCCACAGCTTCATAGCTTCCAAATATACCAAATATAACTTCCAAAATTCCTACCTGAAAGCTATGCCATCTAGGAATTCTGGAAATAAATTTCCAAAACTTCTTGACTGCCAGGACCGCCAATATAGCTAGCTACTGGTGCCATCAATATATATAGTCCTGTATTATTCCGAATAAGCTGCCTAATTAAATTAACCTAACCGGACTAATGTAACCTAATGTAAATACCGTTACAAAAAAAAGGAGGAGGGAGTCAGGAGATGCAGAAACAGTAGTTTTCTCTTAAACCGGCATCTATTGTTCTTCATATATGCAAGTGTATGAATAGCTTGATTTTAAGAAACAAGAATTGTGAATTAAAAATTAGTTTGATCAAGGAATGCAAGATAGTGCAGTAAGGGAAACAGGAATCAGAAAGCAAAAGTCTGAATATTTTCCATGAAGTTCATTTGACTCCAAATTTCCATTGGTTCCGAGTACATAGAACAAGGATCACTTTGCAATGAAAATGAACAACTGAAGGTCCCAATTCATCTTTGAAATTTTTTTCGGAACATTCCTGCTCCAGGCTAAATCTAAACTCCATGGAAATTGATCCAAAGTTATAGAATTACTCTGTTGCTACATTCTGCTATCTTGCTTCTCCCCCTTAACCTCTGGGCCATCAAAAATATTCCTTTTTTAAAAAAAAAGTAGGAACAAAAAGAGGACAGGGAACAATTCTGTTTCAGTTTCAGAATGCGAAACATCAGCACGGACTGACTAGAGGCAGACGGAAGTGGGATAAGAAATGAGAAAAGGCGAAGGGTTGGGACTACAAGAATTTAAAGCTGCAAGCAGAAGCAGGGAAGCCGTCTGTAATACGTGGCAGGCGTTCCCAGAATTCAGGGAACTAACCGGGGCCGGGCGGGGGTGGGGCGCTTGAAAAAGATTTTAAAAACTAAAGGTTGCCCGTTCCCCACCTCGCTAGCCTCGCTTGCACCTTACCTCCTCTGCGTATCCCTCGCCTTAATTGGGCAATAACAAAGATCACCCACCTTTTTCACTCTGCGGGCCGTAAAGAGCCCCATCCCGTCTTGAATTTTAGATGACTTCAGGGCGAACCTGTCCGGCACGTACATGCCCAGCATTCTGCCCTACCTGTAGAGAAGAAGGGAGTGTAACCACCTCCCTCTGTGGGCTAATCGAGAGGCATTGCAGTGGCAAAGGAAAGGGGGATACAGGAGAACCCATGAAGGAGCTCCAGCTGCTAGAATACCCCCCCCCCCCCGGCTCCAGCTGCCCCCGCCTCCTGGAAAGTAAGGGCGGCGCCGTTCTTCTGCCACAGTTCGGGTAAAGCTCCGCTCTGATTGGCCGAAAGTTGGTTGTTGAGCTCTAAGGCGCGGGGGGGGGGGGGCTGAGATTCCATTAAGCAGCAAGGCAGAGGATTTCGGGTCACTAGTGAGAAACCGAGTAGACGAATTAGGAACGTTTCTTTGTTTCTACGTAGGACGACGAGCTCTACGGCGCTGGCTAAACATTGCAAGACTTAAGTATAAAGGAAGGATTAGTACATTTCTAACTCTGTTTTAATTCGACTATTGGTTGCCTTTCGCATTTAAGGCTGTTATTTAGAGAGCTAATCCCAGAGGCAGAAGTAAATTTACTAAAATTATGAAATACAAAAGAACTTTTAAATAATGCTTAAACAGTAAAAAAAAAATCCTAAATATAGTGATTAAATGAACTAAATATGTTTTCCAAACAATCCAGTTAACAAAAGATATTCGGTATAAATGCCTAAATGAACCATTAACTTAATAATTAACCTTTAATACTAAGTCTAGACCATATGGTAACATTCTATGGTACTCTTTCATTTTTAGTACATGAAGACTTCCATATTTTACAAATAGGATTCAACATCATACTGATCCTAAAATCTAATGTTTCTTCCACAAATTATATTAACATATGTATTCATCTGAAATTTTAAAAAAGCTACAACAGAACAAAATCAAAGCATGTGAGTTTGGTCTTACATTACCAGCATAAGAAAGTGAAGCTAGTTCCACTTTTTTAAATTTCCTTTGAGGAATCTAATAGACCCAAAATAATATCTTCTGAAGATTTCATTTTAAAATCCTAGGAAAGACATTGCACATTTTATAATTCCTGGTCCCAATGATTTTCCAGAATTGGATATTTCAATTCTTCCTTCCACAGATCAAATATATATCTGATGCTAACCTTCATTTCATCTTTTCATCCTGCACATAATTGAATAGTTGGTTTCCATTCATGCGCAGCATTTCTTAAAGAAGTAACAATTGGAGATATCTCAGGCTGCTAAAACTTATAGGACATAATATTTAGTTAATACATGTTTCGACTGTATATGTTGCAACTTTTTCAACTGTATATTGGAAGTAAGACAATTTGAAAATGCAGTCTCCCAAAAGCTTTAAAACAAAACAATACAACCTCAAGCCTGACATATTTCTTCATCATATTACCAGCCACCCTAATATACAACATAGACAAGGGATTTTCAAAAAAGCTTGGACATCTCACAGAAAAGAGTGAATATTCTATCAACTCCCAACTACAGTGCATCCAGAAAATCAAACATCTAAAAATAGAAGATGCTATTATGGTCTCAATCAATGTCACAGCACTTTTATATCCATAGATCTAGAATTAACAAAAGAATCCATAGCAGCAGTACTATGTAACACAGCCAACCTAGACAAATACACTAAATACATTTAAATACTGAGAAATATGGACCTCATCAGGTTCTGCCTCACTATTTTGATGGACAACCAAGAAACACCAAGAAATCATCACCCATTGGATCACCAATCTCAGGACTCATAGCATCTGAAAACTATAGCATTCCCACTCATACAATCTGATATGTAGACAACACTGTTGTCATAATAAAAAGGAACATCTAGAGAAGACAAATGAAACACTGAATAACATCTTCAAAGTAATACATGTCACAAAGAAAGAAAAAAACAACACACTGCCCTTCCTGGATCCTCATTCTAAACAACTCACACTAAGTGCTCCATTACCAAAGCAGCAACCCAACCTCCCACAAGAAGAGCTGTGTAAGAAGATTATTCAAAGAAGTAAAAATGTTCTGCAGTCTACCTAAACAGACTGCCCATACATTTTTCAAGAAAAGGGTTGAGTTTTGTTATCTTTCAACCCATTGCCCAAGCCAACCCAAGTGCCTAATCACTGAGCCCATTACAGCACAACTATCATAAATTATGAAAACAATAACACAATAATATATCAAAAACATCTCAGAAACAACCAACACACTATTACAACTATATGTCATCATTGTAGCACACAAATCTTCCAAAACATCTTAAATAACCCAAAAGATCCAGTAACCCAAGAAGAAAAAAATAGGAGTCATATATAACATACAATATAAGTACAGTAATAGCTACTATATAGGACAGGCTGGCAGAAGACTAGCAGAGCACATCTATGAACTACCAAGTAGCAGTCAAAAGGCATAATAAAAAAACTCCTTAATTTCACAATACATGACATACTCAACCATAGTTTCAATTTGGAAAATGTGAACATCCTAAACTATACTAAATCAAAAAATGCAATGGAATTCCAGGAATTTAGCAAACAGGTAAATCTACAGGTGTTCTCCTTTCAATAATGAAAAACTTCTCTATTGTGTTGTATGTAGAAAGAAAAATTCCCGTTTGTGAAATTTTAAACCCTTTACACAAAGACATAGGTGCCATTTTGGAGCCATTCTAAGTGGTCAGGATCCTTCCAGAGGTGCTTTTGTAACTAAAGAAATGTACTATATCTGGCATGCAAACAAAAGAAACATTATCTTCAAGCTTTGGAGAGTAATATAGTATTAAATATGGCACTTTATCTTACCACACTTAACCAGGCAGTGATCTGTCCATGACTAAGGAAACTTTTATTTTCTCTCCATTTCATATTACATTCCTAATAAATAAAGAAGGTCAAGCACATGAATATATATTTTATTGTCATCATCTATACAGATGTATGCATGTGTGGGTATATATGAGTATGTATCACACACACTTGATTAATTATTCTTTGGTTGTTAAGATATTTTTTATCATTTCAATTTTCATATTATTTTAGAATTCAATAACTTCTAATAATGTGGAAAATCTTTCTGCCCAGTATTTACTTTTATATAGTAACGACAAAGTGCACCCAGTTGGAACATTTCATTTTAAATAATATTATATTTAGTACCATTCTGAACACAAAGCTTTAAATCACTTTTGATTATTTTGCTAATATTATGTATTATACATTAGTGTGTTTCTGAAAGACAGGAGGACCTGAAAGTGAACTCTCCTTTATTAAACAGATCCGTTTAAGTGGAAATTCCATCCATGATACGATGGATTTAGACTCCATACAGTTTATCAGAGTGCAGATTGGAGCTAGCCAAAATGCGGTTTTTTTCCTCCACGGAGAGAGGTTTTTGTTTAAATCTGATTATAATGCTGAAAGAAAAAACATGCATTTGCAAATGTGAAAAAGCTGGGGGAGGAGAAGTGACAATAAAAAGCAAATGAGAATTTGACAAACCAACCAGTCTTTAAACTTCTATATTTAAATCTGTATACTTACTGCTTATAATTTTAATTACTAGCTGCAGTGAATTTGTCCTTTCAGGTTATTCTTTGTTTTAAAAGGCCCTTGTTAATATTGCTCCCTTTCTGGAAAGCCAAATATATAATTATGTTATTCTTTGCATTGTCATTTTGAGAAAGCACAGCTTAAGTTAGGACATTAGTAACTGGGATCCTTGAGAGTTCTCAAGTCAAAGGCAAAAACAGGAGTACATAATTCAGTCTTTGAAAGAAAAGCCTCTTGAGATTTAACCAACTGTACAAAGCATCCACGTATATGAAGTAGTCATCCAAGTAGCAGAGGAAAGAATGCTGGATTGTTGCCATTATATTAAAATAAATTATGACATATTCATACTGAAATACTCTCACTTTTTCGGTGACTTAAGTATTACATAAAAGAAAACACCTATTATCTGATTTCTTATGCATTAAATGGACCTTTTTCATTTATTGAGATATTTTTCAACTAACTGGATGATTCATTTAAAAGCCGGAGTGCTCTTTAATGTGGAGCACATAAAAACAATTGGTCTGTCTCCTGTAATTGACAGGATCACTATAATAATTTAATTTAACACTGCAAAATGACATTTGGAAATCCCCAACTCATTTCTTCTGGGACCTAGAAGAAAAGGATTAATTTAGTATGAATTTGTCATTGGAACACATTACTACTTCTTCTAGCTACAAATCTAAATTCTTTTACAGCCAGCCAGACTAAGATCACAATTGTTAAAGTCTTGATTTGTTTCCTGTTTTTATTTAAATCTTCATTTTTTTTAATGTTCCTGAGTTTGAACAGTATAATTTGTTAAGAAGATATTTCATAGCTCATTTCTAGACAGATAAGTGAAAGTCGTATTGAATTCAATAGGGTTTACGCCCAAGTTTATGTGCTTAAAACTGCAAGCTTTTATGTTAAAAGCAGAGGTTAGGATAACTGAGAATGCTGTTCAAGTTCAGGATTGAAAGCTGTAGTATCCCCTTGGAAAGATAAGACAGCTAGAATACTAGAAAAACTTGGTACACTTTGGACTTTTCTCCTGCCATGAATCACTATACCAGCTGTGAATTAATGTCTGCACTTCCTCATCCTGGTGTATGTTAGGTTTCATCTTCCATACTTACCTCTCAGAAGATTATTGTAAGTCTAAGGGTAGACATGAATAGCCTTTTCCTATTTATATAAAAAAAAGATGATAGAAAAGGTACTTTCAAGGCATTACTCCTTCCTTATAGGCAAAATTTCTGCCACTATTTCATATTACTGATGTCTTAAAATACATAAAATTAGATTTATAATGCAATGGTTTGACATAAGAGATGGAAAGAATAAATCCAGACAGGTGCCTGGCTGTTTATATCTAACACTGTTTAGACAAAAGTCATATGAAACCTTAATTGGGAATATAATATTCACAAGTTTCTACTGTTCTTTTTTGAAGGAAGGAAGGAAGGACGGAAGGGAGGGAGAGAGGGAGGGAGGAATTTGCACCAACTACATAGCCATAACCATTCATGCATGCTTCATCAATATATCAGGATAACTATTCAGTTTAAACCCCTTTGAGGATTTTAATTAAAATAATACAGCATCATATAACTGAAAGTATAGTTCTTCT